GTCGGAGTGTTCTTAAGCTTCAAAAAAGCGTTGAAGCATCTAACCAGAGTTAGCCTACACAACCATTAGTTGAATAAACCTGGCTGCTCCTACTATCCTCCAAGCCTGGTATAAAAGTAAGCAAACTCATCAGCAATATTCACATTACGCATACGCACAGAACATGCCATGTCCGGTTGTATATCTTGGATGCATGTGTGAGCAGTTGTTTTCATTTAAACATAAACATAGTAGATTTTAATTGCATTCTGCACGTTTCGAGGCGGCCAACCGAGCGATCGAGCGACCAAACGACGAGCGAATGACAGGAAAACTCTCATTTCTCGTTGATAATTTGAATTTTTGGCTCATGAACAGCAAGCTGAAATGAAGGCATTAAAATTGCACAGTAACAACAACAACAACCACAAAATAGCACATACGAAAACAATAAATGGAAAAAACAGAAATTTGGTTGCACGACAACCACGAGCAGCAGCCTTGAAAAGGACGCAGCGACAACGCCTGATGCATGAAATTCTGTCAACCAACCGCTCGAACAGCGCCACCGCTGATCCTAGAATTTCATCAAGTGTTTGAGTCTACTTTCAGCAAGCAAGCAGAGAGGCTTGCAAAATCTTACGGACAGTGCACTATTGTGGTCGCCATGACAATTGGCAGGGAATTGTATAGGATGAGTTTTGGCTGCTCTGTGCCTATGTATATATGGTAGTAAAAGTATATATATTTTTGAAAAACGCTTTAGTGTGCGTTGGTGCAGAAAATGGGAAAATTAAGGTTCCCAACGATGAATGTTTGTGGTAAACAAAAAGCCGAGCGAGCAAGAGTATGCTTCTTCCGCAAAGTCATTACCCACACACTATAGTGCAACACTGTGCTTGGCAACGTGTGGCATGAACGCAAATTTTTGGAAGTAAAGTTTGGAAAAGTTGCATCAATAGCAACGGAAGCAAAAAACATGTTTTCCTCTTTGCCTGTTCGATTTTCGATTGCTAAAATCAATGTATGTTTTCGCCGTTGAAGACTTATAGCAATATTTTTTCTTTGTTTCTTCCGCATTTTTTCTACCATAATTAGAGTTGCCATCCTTTGAAAAAAAAGGCGAAAATTCTGTGAAGCATTCGGCTAATACGCTTCATATCTTACAACTCTCCGAATTAAATTCTCGTTAACCATTTTCTCCAAGCTCACTAGCTCGCTGTGAGATTGAGTCGGGCTAGAACCCAAAAGCCAGATGAAATTAAAAAAATGGCCAAACAGAGCAGAGACCGAAAAACCCAGAACTTGAGTTTTTGGACATTTATTCATATGAACTCTACTACTTTACAGCGGTCCGTCTAAAGACGGACTCACACACGTACTTGGGGTATATATATACAGACTTGGTCAAAATGGGTGCAATCGTCAAGGGGAACGGAAAGTATTTTTTAATGATGCTTGACGTCACATTTGTCTACTTCAGGCTATGTACATTCATGATCATCCATATTGACCACAAAAAGTAATCGAACGTATCGAAAAACATTACAATGCATTGTGATTCATTTTCCGCTTTATAACAGAATGTGGTTTTGTTTCTGGGTATGCAGATAGAATTTTAAGACTACACTTCATTCTTATTCTTTCGACCTCTTCGCACGTCTTGAACACGTGAGGAAGCGTTGTGTGAGATGAGAAAGGATCCTGTATGGAAGGAGGATTAGGGAGCTCCTCCAACATATTTAATTTAAAGAATTACTGAAGTCTAGTTATGAGCGTCGGTCTTGAAGAAAACGAAACCCAGGCCGGGTTCAAGTCCTGGTCCGACCAATATACAAAACTAACGAAAATTAATTTTTCTAAATACGGTCGCCCCTCGGCAGGAAAGCCAAGCCCAGCGCCTAAATTTATGGTATTATAAAAAAGTGTTTCCTCCCGAAGTTGCATTATTTAGGGACTTAAAAATCACATAATGCCCACGGAAAACGTAAAGACGGTTACGATTTTTGGGTATGCATCTTGTGCGAAAAAGAAGAAGAACTGAAAAGGTGCATATATCAGCATGTTTGCTAATTATGGTCCCGCCCTGCTCACAAAAAATGGAAACCATACAAGCGTAGTAGTGCATATAAAGACCTATCAAGTGTTTTGTGTAGCTTCAAATTTGATAAACATACAAATATTCTTAGACAAAGGTGTATATATAATATATCTTTCCTAGATACCATCATGACATTTGCTTATATTGAGCGTATGGAGCTGCGGTGTCCGCCTATATAATCCTAAGTGTGGTTCTACCAAAGTATGCTATTTTATCTTATCGTTTTCAAAGCATAAAGAAGAAAAGGAACATTAACGAGGCAGACATCTGAAAGTGAGCATTAAGTGTTTGAATATTAAGCCCAATTCTCTCATAAGATGAACCAAGGATAGCCTCCCTAATCTCTCATTAACCATATCATTTAATTACTAAAAGCGAAAATAACCCAAAACAAAAAAAATCTTTACTTAAAATCCTAATTCAAAAGCCCAGAAAATACAATGTGGCTCTGATCGTTTGAAAAATCGTTGTACCAGATGCGAAAGGCACATCGTGACTTGAAACCTATGTATAGGATATTTTCCACAAAACAATTTGAGCGTATGGCTGTGCCTATGTAAGCCCACCGGCCAGTAAAACTATACACAAAGATATTGTTTTTGTTGTGGCTGGCGTTATGTGAAATCAAAATACCTGAAAGCAGAGTAATGGTTCAATGGATGGAGCAAGCAAGCCTAATAGGAAACTTATATACATGAGGGGTATGCGTGAATGTAAATAGATACGAGTGTACATATGTAGCACACATAAGGGCTGTGAACTTTGCCATTATCGTTATTACTCATCATCTGATTGAAGCTGCAGTTGCTGTTATTTCAGTTTTCGTTCATCATTACTCAGTGCTCTGCTTCTGGTTTCCTGTTTTCCGCACAGCAAACAATTGTGCTTATACGCAGTGGCTTACATACGGACCTACATGTGGCCCTACCTGAATAGCTCTGCAGTTTGCTATGGTGAAAAAATTGTAATTTCCATGCAATGCATATCCGATTACCGTTTACAATTCAGCGCAAAAGTGATTGTTTAACTGCTTATTGAAAACGCTTACTTCTCTGTTTTGCTTATGTAGGCCACGACTAAATAGCAAGGAACTTAAATGGAACCACTTTATCATATGCGTCTTACGGATTCACTAGGGGCTTACTGTAGGATCTGTTCATTTTACAGACTATGCAGCTCAAAAACCAGCTAAAGTTAAAAGAACAAGGTTTGCGTTAATTCGGAAGCACCGCAGCTCGGACGCGTCATCCCAGAGACATGATTGACGATTTTCAAAGAAAGTTATTGTAGCGCTGAAGGTAGTACGCATGCTTAAAAATATCCAACTCTTCCAAATTTCGGCATTTAAGAGTAACCGAATGGCAAGTGAACTCATGTTACATTTATTACGTGGTATATAGGCGAAAGTAAACTTCATAAAAAAGGCGGCCAAAAAAAGTTCAACCTATTAACCTTTCATCGTTTGCATTGAAAACCTTTAAAAGATTTCTTCGAACGTGTGTAGCTTAATTAAATCTATCAACACCACTCTTCACGATATTGCCTCGAAGATTGAGAAAGATCGTGCCGTCAAAGAGAACAAACACAACCATTGATACTTATTAACACTTAGTGTCAAAATAAAACGAAGAGGACAAAAAAAGTAAAGATACCCAAATAAAAATATGTCAAATAAAGTAAATGTAAACAGTTGAACATATGAATATATTTATTATTTATTTATGATTTATCTTTAATTTACCTTTACTGAAAGAATCACCATATTTTTTTTTCTGATGCTTATGACTTAAGAATAAAAAAGAATATTTAACGACGGTAGAGTGGGTTGTAGAGTTCATTCAGGACTGGACCAGAAGACCTAAGTTCGATTTAATAGGGTTCTGTGGAAATACTCCTCCAGCCGGGGACATCTCGGTTAGTGAAATGGCTATGAAAACGTCCGAAAAAACAATTATCTGATGATTCGAAGATAATTTTTAAAATGTCCATATTTTCATAACTACGTAACCGATGTTCATAAGAGTGGTACCGATGGGCAGGGATTTTTAAACCTTTAATTGTGATATAAATATATTCTTATGTATACCTCATATGTTTTAACAAAAAAAAAAATTAAATATTGATTTTTTTTATAAAAAACTATGTGTTGGATTCAGAAATGTATTATAACTTATTAATTTAACTATTAGATTTATGCATTCTTAAAAGTATTAGTAACGCAAGGGTTAATAACGTGACACCACGAAAGGGTTAACATCGAACGTGATTTGACGTTTCATATTCTACTTTTCGCTTTGGTGCTCGTCATTCGCTTGCTTTTGTACATGCATTACAGTGCGTTTTAGTTTGTTCGTTCGCTACTTTTTCTACCGCTCGCCGCTAGTTCGCCCGCTTAAATTTAATTCTATTATTTTGTAAAGTTATTTGAAGTAATTAAAAGTGAATTGTAAATTGCTAAAATCGCGAGTTTTACTTAATCTCAAAGAGTACCAAGCTCCTGCTCACTGGAAAGAATACACAACATTGCTGGTCCTTCGAGCCGGATAGTGCTCGCATCGTTCGTTTAAGTGCAGTGTAATTACAATTTGCAAAAAAACTAAACTAGCGAATATATTTAATTGCTTTTAAACAATCCATTTTTTAATTAAGAACAATAGTAGTTTGCATTGTAATTCATGCGAATACACATACATATCTACAATCAACGATCGTAATCGTATCAAGGTGACATTGGTGTGACCTATACAAGCTGCTCTGCTGTATATTTGACCTTCGCTACTCCGCTAACTCGCCGTGTTGGTTTCGTTGCCGTTATAACTGTTTTATACATTCGCTTTTGCCAAATTTTTCCGTGTCTTTGATTTGACCTATGTAACCATCTCAATCGCGTTAGGGCGAATCTTAAATCAAATTATCAATAATGTCGTCTGTTAATACGCGAGACTCTGCATTAAACGCTATCAAAAGGTATATGACAAAAAGCAAGGATGAAGCTTTTGTCATGGATAGTGACAGTGTTGCGAGTTATTTGCAGCTCCTCAACGAACAGTGGGCACGTTTCAACACTGCACAAGGTGAAGTTGAACTATCGTGTGGTCTCGACAATGCAGAAGTAGAGGAGAGTGTTCGCGTACAAGGTGAATCCTGGTATGCCACAGCCTTAGCTAATTTCAAGCGTGAGCAAAGGTGTAGGGTGGAACCGACAACGCAACTTGTGACATCGCCAACGTCTGTGTCCGCAGCAATTCGTTTACCTAAAATGGATTTACCAACGTTTGCCGGCGATTCCACATATTGGATAGCTTTCTACGATGCTTTTTGTTCGTTAGTTGATACTAATCCCACTTTATCGGATGGACAAAAACTGCATTACCTACGCAGTTGTCTAAAAGGCGACGCTCTCAACATTATCAGTGGGTTTAAGGTATGTGACGCTAATTACACAGAGGCGTGGGATCTTCTCAAATCTCGGTACAAAATAATGCGAGTTATTGTTGAGGCGCATTTACGGGAGATGTTTGCTATTCCGTAAGCTTCAGGTGATACTGCAGATGCAGTCAAAGTATTTCACGTGATGCCGGAGCATAATCGTTGCTCCTACTGTAAGGCTGCTCATAAGATTTATTTTTGTGACAAATTTCGCAATTTAGATTTCTCCGCAAAATCGAAATTTATTAAAGAATCGAAAGCTTGTTGGAATTGTTTGAGTCCAGGACATTCCAAAGACCGCTGTAATAGTTCATCCGCTTGTCGTGTATGTAGCCAGCGACACCACACGCTGTTACATAACACCGCAGTTTCTTCCGCTACCGCATCTGCTCATGTCGTCGAGAGCAAAAGTACCGCTCTGTGTACTGCATCTGTTGACACCGCCTCGTTTCCAACCGCTTCGTCTCTAACCACTTCGTCTCCAATCGCTTCTTACGAGAACCGCACTGCTACTCATCGTTCATCTTGTCTAAGCAATAGAGCCAGTCCAATGCTCACAACGCAAAAGCTAGTTCTATTATCTTCCGCATTAGTAAGGATTCGGGACTGCGCTGGTCAATGGAAAACCGCTCGTCTATTGTTCGACACGGGATCTCACGCTTCGTTTGTAACGGAGACGTGCGTCCAACGCTTGGGCTTAACTCGCACGTCGTCTTCTGTCTTCGTAACAGGAATTGGTTCTTCGCAAGGTGGTCGCTGTAAAGGCGAGACGCTACTCACGCTTTCGCCACATTGTTCAGGGCATTGCTACTCGATTACTGCGTTGATTCTTCCGAAAATCACCAATGATTTGCCAACTCAGAGATTACTCGTTTCAAAGTGGCCACACGTTCAGGGTTTAGTCTTAGACGATCCGTATTTCGCCGAGCCAGGCTGCATAGACATACTCATAGGTATGGACGTAATGGACCAACTCATATGTATGGAATTCCGGAAGGGGCCGCCCGGCACACCTATGATGCAGAAGACAGTTTTTGGCTGGACTTTGTTCGGAAACATTGTCAATCCTGTTACGCTTACTAACAACTTGTTGTCGCTGCATTGGGATATTCATTTGGATCGAGCCTTAGCTAGATTGTGGGAGTTAGAAGAGTTGCCTGAAAAACGTTACCTTACTCACGAAGAAAACTTTTGCGAAGATCATTTTATTTCCACTCATAAAAGAATGCCTGATGGTCGTTTCGTGGTAGAGTTACCACTTAAACCAAACGAGTCACTCGGGGAGTCACGGGACTTTGCAGTCCGTAACCTGTTACGTATCGAGCGAAGACTCGAAAGTAACAACGAATTACGTTTACAATATAATGAGTTTATGAGAGAACTCATTGAAATGGGGCATATGGAAGCCGTTTCTGAGACGACTAGTATGGCATACTATATGCCACATCACCCTGTCATAAAGGAATCCAGCGTTACTACTAAGTTGAGGGTAGTCTTTAACGCCTCTGCGAAAACTACTAATGGAAATTCGCTTAACGACACATTGTTCGTGGGACCTCAGCTACAACAAGATTTATATACTATATTGATTCGTTTTAGAACGCACCGTTACGCAGTGACGGCAGACGTCGCAAAAATGTATCGACAGGTTTGCGTCTCATCAAAACACGTCGATCTACAGCGAATCGTTTGGCGTCCAGATCGATCTTCTCCTATTACAGATTATCGCATGCTACGGGTGACCTATGGAGTGGCTGCCGCGTCTCATCTAGCTGTTAAATAATTACAGGAAACAGCTAAGCGCTCATCTAATAGCTGCAAAAAATTCGTTGAGGTAATCCTCAAGGACTTCTACATGGACGATTTGCTTACTGGTGCATCCTGCAAATCGGAGCTCAAGAAGGCGGCTTCGAACTACGAAAATGGGCATCTAATTGCACAGAGTTAAATAAAAGCATTTCTAATTCATCTACAAGTATATCGCATTATATTGCCGATAGTAAAGACGTTCACGCACTCGGGCTCATATGGAACGTAGAAGGCGACTACTTTACATTCGCAATCAATTTAAAGAAAACACCCGCAATCCTAACTAAAAGAGCATTTTTGTCAGATGCTAGTACTCTTTTTGATCCCTTGGGCTTGCTCGCTCCTGTAACGATTTGCTCCAAAATGTGGTTCCAGGACACCTGGCGCGTTCAAGTTGGTTGGTATGAACCCATACCAACCACTATCGCTACACAATGGCTAGAACATCGTTCGCAACTTCATCGAATGGCCGATTTAAAAGTGAGCCGCTGGTTCGGTACTGGAACGACTGGGTCGTTCACTGAATTGCATCTTTTCGCTGACGCCTCGGAGCGCGCTTACGCTGCGGTGATGTACGCGCGCACTATTCACGCTGATGGGCAGATTGTCGTGTCTATAATTTCGTCAAAGACTAAAGTGGCACCCATAAAGCCCACGTCGCTACCGCGCCTGGAATTGTGCGCCGCTCATCTCGCTGCCAAGCTAGCCAGAAGTGTACTTTATAGTTGGGGCAATCAGCGTTACCTTATGTTCGTTTGGACAGACTCAACAATTACGCTGGCATGGTTGCAAGCACACCCTAGCCGATGGGAAACGTTTGTCGCGAATCGTGTTTCCGAGGTCCACGAAGTTCTTCCTGCCGAATGCTGGAATCACGTACGATCTGAAAATAATCCAGCGGATTGCGCTTCTAGAGGTGTAACACCACTTAAACTCCTGCATCAAGAGCAGTGGTGGAACGGTCCAAGTTTCCTGCGTAGTTCAAACGCTTTTTGGAAGTCCGGTTCGTCAAAGACGCATGTGACTGAGTTTGGTCTGCGGAAGAAAGTACGGGCGCATCTTACTCATTCGGACAATCATTGGTCTGTAATGACCAAATACTTATCGTATTCGAAACTAAAGCGTGTCATGGCCTACGTTTTACGCTTCGTATTCAACGCTCGCTCCATTACTCTGCATAATGCTGAGAAACGATGTGGTCCTGTTAGCTCTACAGAAATAGCTGAAGCTGAACGCCGCTTAATTAAGTATACTCAACATTTCTTTTATGCTAATGAAATTTTTCTTTGCAGCGCAAAAAGGCCGATCCCGCTTCGCAGTAGCCTATTGCGCTTACAGCCATTTCTTGACTCGAATGGTATTCTTCGAATTGGTGGTCGTCTTAAGTCTGCAAAGCTTGCATACGAATCGAAACATCCAGCCATTTTACATAAAAACGCGCCGCTGTCTAAGTTAATCGTAGCAGATATTCATCGTTTTACATTACATGGAGGGCCGCAGTTAATGCAAGTAGTCTTACAGCGCCGCTACTGGGTTATTGGTGCCCGCAACTTAATCCGTAACATTTACCACAAGTGTGTGAAATGCACCTATTTAAATAGAAACCTCGCTACGCAAGCGATGGGTGACCTTCCTGCATCCCGTTTCGCTTATGCTCGTTGCTTCTTCCGTACTGCTGTCGATTTTGCTGGGCCTTATATGTACTTAAGGGCTACATTTGTTCTTTCGTTTGCATGTGCACTGGTGCAATGCATCTAGAATTCGTTGGCGATCTGTTGGCATCTGCTTTCCTTAACGCATTCAAAAGGTTTTTAACCGTAGAGGGTATTGCAAGGAGATGTTCTCCGACAATGGGACGAATTTCGTCGGCGCGGAGAAGGAACTCCGGACCAAATACGAGCAATGTATGGCAGATGGCAGGCTTCGAGCTTTCTTCGCTGATTCTGACATAATTTGGCGATTTAACCCTCCGAGCGCCCCACACATGGGAGGCTACCGGGAAATTGTCCTAGGAGGAGTTCAGCACATTACTGACGGAAGTGGAAGCCTGTGTAAACTCTCGCTCGTTATGTCAAAATTCAAGAAACGTAGTCGATCTCGAAGTTTTAACTCCGGGCCACTTTATGGTCGGCGAACCGCTTAAGTCGATCCCGGAACCTGAGGGTCAAGGGTTCCGTGGCACGCTACATCAACGATGGCAGTTGATTTCCGCAATAAGACGGCACTTCTGGCGTCGCTGGAGAGATGAGTATCTAGTCAGCTTACAGCGTCGGGCTAAGTGGTTTCGCCCATCGCGTAACTTCAAAGAAGGAGATATTGTGGCTGTTTTCAATGAGCTCAGTCCACCTACAAAGTGGTTGCTCGCAAGGGTGATTCATTGTCATCCTGGAGCTGATGGTCGTGTACGAGTCGTGACCGTGAAGACGTCGACTGGGGAGTTCGTCCGTTCAATAGCGAAGTTATGGCTACTGCCCACAAAGAAGGATCTATTTTCCGAGGAATAGAATTCAGTGTGCTTATTTCATTTAGTTCGTAATTTGTAAAATATTAATTTGAATTTAATCATGTAATTGAACATGTTAACATAGTTCAAGGGCGGCGGTATGTTGGATTCAGAAATGTATTATAACTTATTAATTTAACTATTAGATTTATTTTCTTAAAAGTATTAGTAACGCAAGGGTTAATAACGTGACACCACGAAAGGGTTAACATCGAACGTGATTTGACGTTTCATTTTCTACCTTTCGCTTTGGTGCTCGTCATTCGCTCGCTTTTGTACATGCATTACAGTCCATTTTAGTTTGTTGGTTCGCTACTTTTTCTACCGCTCGCCGCTAGTTCGCCCGCTTAAATTTAATTCTATTTTTTTTGTAAAGTTATTTGAAGTAATTAAAAGTGAATTGTAAATTGCTAAAATCGTGAGTTTTACTTAATCTCAAAGAGTACCAAGCTCCTGCTCACTGGAAAGAATACACAACAATATGATTTACTATATGTCAACTTTATAATATCTCTTGCTAAATTGTAGTAGCGTATTTTATATCCCCAATAACATCCCACCCACCCTTTGCTAAAGGAAAATTATTTTTATAGTTTATCTTGCTTTCCTTCCTTTTTTAATCGATGTAGTTTTAAGATTTTAAAAATTTGTGTTAGTAAAAGAAGGTTTATATGAAATACTTCTAAGTAAAAAAAATATTTATGAGGGAGTTTCAACCCTCTGCTCTCGTACCTGCACGTTTTCCTTTTTTAAAAGATTTTGTTAGATTGTGTCTATTACTAGGTTCATGCTTCGTTTCTATGCGGGTTTATTGTACTCGGGTTATGATTACAAGCATATACGCCAATGTTCCACACGAGTTGAATTCAGAATGGAGTTAATATCAGGGATGTCAAACCCAAATTTTGTTAAATTTTAGGTAAACAATTATATTTTTGGCAAAAAGCTAGCAACACGGAAACTCTGTATCAACCACGTTAAATGCGAATCAGCTGATTTCGACTTAACCTGTGTTTATGCTACTACGTTAACAATTAACGCTTCTGCATATGTGGATAAAATGTGTAGCATCTACCCGAGTAGATGTGGTGAAAAAGTGTTTATGTTGGCGTGTTTAATCTATCGAGTAGAATAATCCCCAGTACAAATGAAGCCTAAACGTAGTATGTGATACCTGGGTAGGTGTCATCGATTCCCCTTTTATAGCTAAAATCGGCGATCAGAGCAACTTCACAAATTTTATCGTCTCTATCGAAAAAAAAAAAAATAATGGCGAATTTAACTCGATTTGAACATATTTGCTGTGTTGTACGAAAAAATATTTCTGGAAGTGGACCAGAGACTGACCTATTCGAAAAAAGTTTATTTATGGTTCCGTTTACTTGAAATTCGGTACATAGGTGGCTTTTTGCCTCCACTTTTCGCAGGAAAGTGGACCAGAAACTGACCTATTCAAGAAAAGGTTATTTACGGTTCGATTTACTTGAAATTCGGTACATAATTGGATTTTCGCAAGGTTAACTGGAAAGTGGACCCGGGGCTGACCTATTCGAAAATAGTTTCATAATGGTTCGGTTTACTTGAAATTCGGTAGCTTTTTGTTTAAGTTAATAGGAAGATTACACTTCTCTCCGGAAAGTGGACCGGGGCTGTGTGCGTAGTAATAGCAGTGGCTGATGGAAATTTCGGCAATGATTTTCTTACATATAAATAATCCCCATAATTTAAATTTTCCAATGGAAGAATTGAGAGTTGTATCGCTGGATGGTGTCCTTCATGTCTAGTACTCCCTTTCTGATGTGCCTGGGTGGAGGTTCAGCTTCAATAAGAGGTAGCATCGCAATCGGTATTAACTCGTAACATAAATGCTTCACTGCGCAAATGATGCTCGGGCGACAATATGAGGTTTCCTGTTGCGGTTTTGAGGGCGGTGTTCAGGGAAGCCTGAAGCTTCTTCACAAGCGTCTCGTTCGTCCCCGGTGCCCTGATCCGTGCAGCTTAGTTAACGACCGACCGGCCAATTGCTTTGTAAGTCGCCAGAAAGGTTTCTTTATTTTTACCAAAAGTGCTACCCGCTCTCACTTTAAGTATTTTTTAGGGCTCGGGAGCTTTGTGGCAATTGCGATCGTATGCGGAGTGCAGGAGTGCAGGCTGTCAAGTGTGACTCTTAATATATTTGGGTTATATATGGTCGGAATTTTCACGTCATCGACCTACATATCTAGCTCGCGGATGTATTCCTTCATCCAGCTGGCGAAAAGGGTAGCCGAGGATTTGGTCGGTTAAATTTTAAGCAGTTTTCGAGTGAAGTACCGAGACAGGTCGACGATATATCCTTTCGAACAAAGGTCAATCATCAGGTTAAGGAAATTCCTTTTGGAGGAGGAGATGTTTCAATTCGAAAAACTATCGATGATTGATGACCACTCAGGTTGCTCATGATCCATCGGTTTTAGTTACGATCATTGCTATATGGGTGTTTCTGGCGGTAAATGCTTTTGTGGTACTATGTACTTTGCGGAAGTCGTACTGATGTGCTGCTGACTCAAATAGTGAGTGAATGTCAGGAGTAATAAGTCCTTAAGTGCTTTCGCTACTAAGGAGAGGAGAGATATCGACCGATAAGACCTGGTTTGAGTAGCAGGGTTATTCCGCCGGTGCCGATGACCCCCTGGACGTCTTTTCCGGAAAGCTGCAGGCAACTTGCGCAGGCAACAAGCCTCATCCAGTTTCATTTTTTCCACCGAAGGATACAATTAAAAAGTCGGCTAAAATATCTCGCCCATCCTTCGGGTCTGACGAGGCGCTGTCACCGAATGAAATTTCCGCTTGGTCAGCGCGTCTCGTCGGGTTAGATAATGAATTGGCTATAGTCCAGAGCCTGATTGTACGAAACTCTTAATTAAGATCCCTGATTAGGGAATTACCGGGATCAGCGTTGCGGATGGTATCGTGGCCGCTGCCGGAATTAACGTTCACCGAGACGTCTGAAGGAGTGGTGACAAATTTCCGTTGGTACGCGGAAACAAAGCCATTAGGTCTGTCAATCGAGATTTTTATGGTCAGTGTCAGTTTAGGTTGCCAGGCTATACTGTTGAGCTGGTCTGATAGCTCTCACAATTCTTGAGTCTAGCGAGATTTAGAGTTACCCACAACTCTGGTGAGTGAAAATTAGATCCAGTAGGAATGAGAAATCACAAAAACAAACAAAATAAATGATTTGCTTTCTTGCCAACGAAACAAAAATTACTTTAAATGCAAAGGGTATTTATACTATAATGATAATGAGATTCTGACAAAGGAATCAATCAATAGTAAAGGTACCCCTTCTACGAAAATCACACAGTTTTGGAAGACATCTATGCATTGTCGAGCATATATTCTGAGAAACTAAAGCCGACAAAATTTCGACACACGATTATTCAGTTTTAGTCGTATTCAATACCGATTGCAATTGCAATCGGATTTCAGAGCAGGGGTCGAATCGAGCGTTCCGTGGACGTATGTATAACTCGTAACATAATTTTAAGTATTTGGCATTACGCCATACGTGAACGTGCCCTCGTTATCGTAATTCGGTATGATGCATTCGGAAATGCCATACGATAACGAGTATTTCGTTAAGAACTGTCATTCAATTACAAGCAAGCAAGCATTAAAAATGTAATTAATTCATATTAAAATTTTATACAAAATATTGTTGAATTAAAAAAAAATATACATTTAGGAGAAATGAAAATATTATAGACGCGCCGCAAAAGAACTTCACCGTAGAATTCATGCGGTTACATCCAAATTTAGCAAACAACCTTTTGCCAAACAGCAGAGCACATTGTTGATACGTGACAAATCTAATGGGTTACTTTGGTCCCTCAGTCCTTACAATTCGTTTATCGATATCACTTTCATCGGAAGATAAACAAAGAAAGTAAATCGCCGGCCATAATTGCTTTTATTTGACAAAATATTAAGAATTTGCGAATAGCCGATTAAAGATTGTAAGAAAAGAATGTAAAAGATGAAGACAAAATTTTTAGATTTTCAAATAATTACGATCCGTTTGGTTTCGTATGGCATCATCTCAAATTTTTCGTACGACTGTCGATACGTTCACCGAACGCTCGATTCGATTCCATCAGTGCGATTCTGTAACTTATTCGATACGATTGGCGGATCGTAAAGTTCCGAATTTTATCGCTTGCGCTAACGATTTTGCGATTCTCTAACTCAGTTTTTAACATGAAGGAAAGGTGGCACCACAGCTTAACAAAACGTCAAAATATACGAAAAACACATAGAGGAATGACAAAAAAGAAATAAATTTGTTATAGAAATTTTGTTTATTAAATGAATAGCAATTGCTCGGTGGTAGAATGTTATATATGAAGGTTGAAATAGACTTCTTCGCAATCGATAGCCTCAATAGTTTTCTAGCGAAAATCGTTATACTATTCTTAGCGAATAGCGAATATCGTTAAAAATATCGCTAAGCCTTCCTATAATGTGCCTAGGAATAGCAAAATCGTTATAATTATCGTTAAGTCATTATAATGATCCGAAAATCGTTATAATACGATAGAGAGTTCCCCCACAGCTCTAGAATTCATCATGAGAGTGAAACAGCAAACTAGCGTATACAAAACAAGATAATGGCTATAACGAAGTGATTTTTAATACAATTATTATAGACGTTTAGGTCTAATATTTCGCGTCCCACCATTACAAAGTTATATTTGGGTTAGCCTTAAGATAAAAGGTTGAGTAAGGTGGAGCCCTTTTTGAAAAAATAGTGTTACCATGTGATCTACATTGAACAAAAATGTGGCGGAAGTGTCAAATACGAATGCCATTTATTTATTGAGTTTAGTATTAGAGTTCATCACTCCTCCCATCTTAAACGCGTCAATTGTCATCATTGCAATATTTCTTCTTTAACATATTAAAGATTTCAAAAGAAAAGAAATTTCACATACATTCTAAGTTATTTTAAACGTAGTTGAAGATATGAAAAAAAAAAAATAAAATATTTAAAAATAATTTTTTATATATCTACATACATATAAAATTTCAATTAAGGCGAGTTCCAAAGCGTCTGTTGCAAAGCAAAAATACTTCTCATTCATGTTCCAAAATGCTTTGGTAAAGTTTTTGATGCGCAAACAAAAGCAAACTGTGGATCGCTAAGGTTTGTGATGCTTTATTTCATTATAAATTCCTAACAACAAAGGCCGACGTCGGAGAGAAAGTTCTTACACTGACATTATGTTACTTATTTTTTAATCTATTTTATATATTAAGGGACAAAAAGTGGACGTCCCTTTTGCAAAGTATTGTTGCTTTGTAAATTGATAGAATGCAGGATTGCATTGTTATGATGCGGTTTTGTAACTGCTACTTTCTTCTTTAGTGGGGTAGACACGGCTTACGCGATTATTTCTGATTAAACAACTCGTGCCATTCATTCCTTCCTTTCGGTGGTTGGCGCCAATTTGAAATTCTTTGTACAACCATCTGATGTTTCCAACAACCTTCTGATCTTTCCAACGGAGCGAAGGTCTTCTTCCCTCGACAATTACTTCTTAGAAAACCTATCCTAGCCAGGACTATACATCTTACGCAAGACTTTTCTCTCGAAAACTAATTAGATGCCCCCTTCGTCAATGTCTGCGCCGCATCGAGAGATTGATTTACTTTTCAATTGCATACTTAGTCCAAGTCACACCTGTTGGCAATAGCGAGATTCTGCATGGAACTTCATAATGAACGGCTAGAGGAGCTTTTGGTGTTGCTTAACGTCGGTTTACCCATCCGTACAACTGAGTCCTACTTAAAGGCTAGAGATAAATGGTTCTTGAAAAGTGGCATTGAATTGTTAGAGCTGAAGTAATTGTGTGAAAACGTTGAAGCCTAGATTTAAATTACTTTTTGAGGTGAAGCATGTGTTTAAATAAGCATTATAAATAAATCTTTTTTATGCTAATATTGATGAAAATGAAGGTGTGGAATAAGAAAAACATGGTCGATAAAATCTCTTTTTAAAAAAAAAACATACAAATAATTATACATTTTTATAAAGTTTTTTAAGAAAAAAGTTAGTATAAAAAATTTTTATACATCAAGGGCTTCGTAATCGGATGCATTTGGTATGCACAATAAGAGTAACCCGAATCAGTAAAACCCATTTTCTCCTATTTAATGTCGGAGTACATTTTTACACTTAAAATTACTCAACGCACTCTCGCGCTCACTGCAGCATACATACGTGCATGTACAGTGGCTCACAGCCATGGTGATGCAGCTATGTAAGAAATAGTATATTAAGTTTTAATTAAAAATTAATTAAATTTTTCGAAATACATGAATGCCAGTTAATAGCGGCGGATGTACACATTTCATTTATGCTTTTAAATAAATGCATTTATAAATATTTCATGTAATTGACGACAAAAACAAACCTTACCATTAAATTGCACCTCACAGCAAAAATGATGGAGTAACAAAAAAACTAATATATTTAATTTTTTTAAAGAACAAAACTACAATTTTATGTTAATTAATATTTAGTAGGATACCCTTTGCTGTTTATAACTGCTTTCCTACGTTCTTCGTGTAGTGATGGGTAATATTGTTCCATTCTGTTTGTAGGGCTTTTTTAAGTCGGCTTGATTTCGAATCTCTCGTTCCAAACCTGGCCACAGATTATCAATCACATTCAAATCTGGACACTATGCTGGGGATGGTACTATATGCGGACAGTCCCAAGTATGCTAACTATGCACAACGCCTGATTTGTGTTTCTGATTATTATCTTGATAGTACCGAAACTTGTCAGGAATAATTAGTTTTGAAGCACTTTGCAAACTTCAGCCTTGTGCACTTTCGAGCTGTGCGGCCATTGAAATCAGTTTCTCTAAGGACTCTTCGTATGGTTTCTGGGTTACAGCTTCTTCCAAGATATTTTAGCACTTCCTTACCTAAAGCAGGAGAGTATTTTCCGTACAATCTATCCGGAATTACATCAAGTTTTCTGGCGATTATAGCGGTATTTATTTTACATTCAAAAGTCGTCGACAAGACGCCGCCACTAACGGTAAATCTTTGTGCATCATTTTCGCTGTCAGTTACAATTTAATACTGAAGTTTGTTTTTGTTGTAAATTACATAAGATAAACATGAAATATAAATTTTCTAAAGCATTAATGAAATGTGTATATCTGCGCGCTATTTACTGGCATTCATGTTTTCTGGGAAATTTATTTAAATTTTAGATGAAACTTATTATACTATTTCTTAGATAGCTGCATCACTTCGGCTGTGAGCCACTGTGTATACATACATACCATTACTAGAATATTCCAGTTAGCATAATAATACCTTCTAAGCCTTAGCAATAATAACAGGCTGTTGTCTAGTAAACATTAGCAAGCGAAAATTGTTTCTGAATACTAAATCATGAATAAAAATATTAGTTAGAGACTTTAATCTCCGAATGGGTGTCAGTATCTGGAAGAGTAAATATAAAATAATTTAATTCATCTGATTCTCTGAAAAGAATTAGAGCACAAAGCAGAGGACGCGCTTGGTAATAGTTTTCCCGTGCAAAATGTATCGTGCGGAAAGCTGTCTTAAGTTATTAGGATTACTTCAGATCGAAAGACGTGAACACAACTTGTATTTGAGATAGGATATGTATGTGTCAGTATTTAAAATCTACATATTACCTGAAAACTCGCAAGCCAAAATACCTATGCTCATCCATTGAACAGAGAACGCGAGCATAACTCCTCCTCTTAAAATATTATATTTTTGGCTACACTTGTGCTCATCGCCAAGCCTGAAATGGAAATTAGAAAAAAGTGTATGAAATGATTAAACAATTCGAATCCGTTGACAACAAATCAATGACTCCTTTAAATGTTGCCTCGTACCAGACAAAGAGAGATCGGAAATTAAAATGAAATAGAGTATTAATACATATATTTATATACATTCATATATAAGTAAATTTTTAAAATAGACTGAAGCTTAAGCAGTTATTGCATATTTGCATTAGATAAATATACACACATACATACAAATAATTTGAATCAAAAGACTTACATTTGAATAAAAACATGAGCTCTAAATGAAATTCTGTACGACTTATTGCCAGTCAGAGTGATTTTTGGGGAAACCAGCTCTTAATTGCTAATTAATTTTTGTCGCATATATAAATAAATATTTAAATTAGAATTTCAAGAAATTGTAAACAAAGTTGAAAGCGAATAATATGAGTTATTATTTTTTCTGTTAGTTTTCTAAGAGAGTAACCCGATTCCGCTTAGACCAATCTGACAGCAAAAAACTACAGACCAAATTAATTTCTATTAATCACTACACGAGTTCACAAACTTCATCTTAGCGAAAAGAGACCAACCAACGCACATTTATTTTGAGTTTTTGTCGTATATCACACGTTTATACGGATCTCCACGTAAATATGTGTTTACCAATCAATTGGTGGCTATAAAAGTAGTATAAGAACATGTTTTAAATTTCTATTACATACAAATCATATACATATGTATGTAAAAGTGCTTGCATATGTATGAGTAGTTAAATTCTAGTTTGTACATATTTAAATTTTTAATTAAGTTGACTAACATTTAAAACCAACAAATACTACACTAATAGTAATAGAGAAAAGAAAACATATATACATATGTACATACATACATATGCATGCGTATATATGTATATGTGTGTACATTGAAAGCTGCTTGATTTATTACAAATTAATATAGTAGATAATACTCATTATTAGGTAAATATCTATATAAGGGTGTGAGTAAATGTTTGAATACGTACACGTGTGTCGGTTGTTATGTAGGTACATATGTATGTATAAAAACATAAACACACATTTTTTGTGCATTTTAATTTTATTATTATACGAAACTTAATTTGTTGCTTGTCTATATATATAAAGTATGCAGATATGTATATGTTGATGTTTGCATATTATATTTAATAAAGAATACTAGTTTAGACTATGCGGGCATACATAAAGTATTGTGTACATATACATATACTACATGTATGAGTTTTACTTTCATTCACTGATTCCAAAATGTGTTATTAATAATTAATTTAAACTTAATTTAAAAGAATAAATAAACGTATACATTAATTTCCAGTGGAATAAAGTTTACGTTACATACTTGTCAGGCAGTCTCAAAAAAAAAATCATTACATACATATATATATATATATATATATATATATATATATATATACATATGTATATCGCGTAAGGAAAAATTAATAAAAAGTTTAATCTAAAATATATATATATATATATATATATATATATATATAATATACTTATGTATATAATTGTAACCGCTAAAGCTATTTTCGGTCGTATATGTACATATACTAATAAACATTCATACATATAGTAGAATTATTATAATGGCACATCTTGATCATCATTTGATGCCTAAAATTTTGTGTATAAGCTGTTTTAAAAAAATCAGGTTTTGTCTCGCTCTTTTTGCTATTATATTGTATATTTAATAAAAGACAATATATAAGGAAACTAGAAGATTTTTAAGTCATTAAATAAAAAGAACTTGACGGATAACAAACAACTTAACGCAGTGAAAATCATGAAACTAGTAAGTCTTCTTTTTGAAGAATTAAAAAAGTGTTATTTCTTATGAAATTCTTTTGGTGAATTTGATTTTACGCAAAAAAAACTGTAAAAAAGAAAGAAAGTTCATTGTATTAAATTGTTATGTGTATTTATTGAAAAAAATTTAATTAATTTAATTTTTTGTGACTTAAACATTTGTCTGTACAGCCATCGAGTAAATATAAGTGAATTATTAATTTCAACGAATGATGGAAAAATTATGAAAAACAAAAAAAAAAAAACAAAAGACAATTCCCCGACCTGCAAGTTTTGTCAATAAAAAAAAACATTAATATATTTCATTTTGTTATTTGAAACTAACAGTAAACCGAAAGCATAAATAATATCCTTTAAATACTCTTGAGTGTATTTTTGCTAGTGTTGGCTCTCTGGTTTGAAATAAACGCAATATTGTGTCTTTTGCATTATAACAAATAACGACATTTTATTATCGAGAGCGACTACTCTGGACATTTTTGCGACACAAAAATGATAAGTACAAAAATATTTAGTTCCTCAAATTTCAATTAAACTTAATAAAACGCATTAACAGCATTTGCTAATATGAGTATAACGATTGAGCGGTTCCTGTGCGAATCATTGATCCAGACTCAGACTAGTAACAGATTACTTAAGTGAACAAAAGCAAAGCAGAAGGATTTCAAAATATAATCACAAAAAGATCAAAATAGATTACAGCAATTTCATTATTTAATTTTTATTTATCATTTATTTATTAGAATGCTAATTTTATAGAGAAGTACTGAATAAAAGGAATTTTATTATATTCACCCCGAGTGTCAAACCACATACCATTATTAACTGCTTAATTTATTTATATTCATAAACAAATATTTTATTTTATCTTCAGATTGTTTTATTATGTTTTGTTGCGTATGCGACTGCGGAAAGTAAGCCCTCATTAGATCGTAATATACATTTGTTTAAATATGATCCAAGCGACGTATACACATTACCTGAAGACATCGATGATGATAAGCCTGCTGTTGTTTTCCAAGGAAATGTTATGCAAGCTAAAGTAGAGAAATTACAAAACTTTAACGGAAACAAAAAATTCAAATTAGAGTAAGTATGGAAAAATGATTGATCAATTATAGCTTAAGTCAAACCGAATGTCACAAAGTCTTAAAAATTATTCTAAAATATTTTTTAATTCCAAACTTTCATTATATTCATTGAAAAAGTAATCAAATGTGATCAACTATTCATTTTATTATATGCAAATTGAATTACTTAATCTTGTACACATACACGTATTCTCTAAAGTAAAGAACAAGTTTTATCGTGTAGTTCGAAGCATGCGATCGATTTGATTTTTTTATACATTTAAGTAAGCGATCATTTTTTATTTCTGTTAAGAAAATTAAAGCATGAATGACTTTAGTTACAATTTTAACTAAATACAAAAATAACAATTAACATTTGCATTTTTATAAGAAACAATAATGATAAAAATAATACAACAAACAGAGTGGAAGATGGACGTCTTAATCGGTTAGTAGGTATCCCGCTAATACATCCATAAGAATGTTAAGTTAACTTTTACTTAATGCAAAAATTTGGTCTGTTTACTATCCACGCTGTACCACAATTTAGTGTTACGTCCAACGTTGGAAGAGTTCCTCTATGCGCCACTATTTTGAGAAACATTTAAAAGCGCTGAAGAGTGTGAAGCAGTCAATGCTGACAGCTTCACCAACGCGAGCTACCTCGTCCGCCTTTTCATTGCCTTTTAATTCCGCGTGATATATACGGCAGCGCCAATTCTAATTATAATTTTTTTAAAAGCTTTTCGAATAATTAAACAATTAACCGAAATTGAAAAGACTCGACCAATTAATGGAAGTAATTAGCCAGTGGTGAATCTCATGATATGTAATGGTTGTTATCATAAAGGACTAGCGGTAAAAAATAAATAATTGTTGCTTTTATTCAAACAAATTTTTGCCATTAGTGGTGCTATTATGCCTTCTCAGAACGTACCGATAATGTCCGAAACCAGTTTTTTGGCAAAGCACCATGAATACATATAATATAATATTTATCATTTGCATTAGCATAAATTAGACAAAATCCATCAGGAAAGCAATATTGTATAACACTAAATTATGACCAGAGTATTACTAATAGGCAAGGTTTAATTAAATCAGAACCAAATTTTATATAAATATGTGATATATTGTACACTAATACAAGTATATTTACTTAGTTAGGAAGATCAAACATAACAACTTATATATATGTATTTTTTTTATTTTCGTTCTTACTTATAAGAGACAAAAACTGTGCGATATCATTATTTTAGATCAATGAATTGTGTATACAGTACCTGAATCAGAATAAAAACTATTATAACGATGCAATCAATGAATACAAAAACACTAATATACTTATTTTTATTAAATTTATTTAGTTTGAAAACACAAAATGGCATCCAGGTGACAAGTGTTGGTAAATTAAAGGATGACAAGACATTTGTTGTAAGCGGTTCATACTCGTTTACCGGAGCAGATGGTAAACGCTACAAAACCCGTTATACAGCTGATGAACTTGGATATCATCCAATTACAGAATTAGATTTAGATATTCCAGAGTAAGTATAATATTTTAGAATATACAGAGTGTATTTCTTGAATTATGATGTCCCTTATATTTAAAGTAGGGATTCTAGTCCGAATTATATTGCAATTCTTTGCAGGACAAGCCTCAGTGGTCGAAACAGAATATGTGAATAGCACAAAATTAATAGTACTTTTTCATACGATAATCGCTAGTCAAATTGCAATTTATACATACCTTAAAAGTACTAGAGAGAGCTATGCTTTTAAAAATTCGTCTATCGGATTGTAAATAAACTATGAAATTGTAAAAATTTTCTGTTGTAGATTTAGTAATTTTAAAAAATATATACATGTTTCTTAAATGCAAAGCGTAGTAGTATCGTATGATGGCGACGCTCACATACATACATAAAAGTCCGCACAATTTATTAACTTTCTGTAATGTTTTGGTTTTTTAATATTCACTCTTTTCGACAGGCCTCAACCCGTAGCTGCATCATCAAATAGATTCGATAACAAAGATTTATTAGCTGGGCTCAAAAATAGATTCCAGTTTTTGAATCAAAATCTTAATTCCGATGCCAGTCCGAGCAGCTTAAGTGGGAGCGCGCAGAGTGGTGATGACTTCAGTTATGCGCTAGCAGCCAGTGATGGCTACAATTACGAGGCTCCGGTGTAAGTTTTGCTTTTCTAATTAAAATCAATTACATATGTATGTACTCGTATGTTCATTAAAACATTTATAAAATATTCTCAGGCAACAATTTGAAACGGCGCCTTCTATACCCTCACGCCAATATTTACCTGTGAAGTAATGGCTAGTTAGCGGAAACAAAGCAAACCACAAATGCATTACAAATTGTAGATTTATTTCAAAGATATATAAATTTGTTATTAATTAAATTTTTAATATAAACCTACATATATAATAATATAATAAAACCAATCTATATGACTGTTTCAAAAACCCAAGAGTTTTGTTTTGCCACTTTAGATAGCTCAAAAAAAGAATTCTTACCCAATTTATGTTCTAATGGACTAGTAGTTTTTGTAATTAGTCTTGGTACCAAGCTCACAAGAGCAATTTTATGAAAAATAGCACAACATGCCCATGAAAGTGCAATCCGAAACAACAAGTTTCTTGTTTTAAAAGCATAGCATTCCTTTCAATTTCCTCGGGTGAACACCTTAACACCTTGGGACTTGTATTTAACAAGCGAACTCGAATGGTTTGGTATATTATCGAGGAGTATTTAGTGAAAATCATTACAATATGATTTTGAGACATCTATAATAATATTTTCAAACATATTTCCGTTTAAGCCTTTCTTAAATATTGGAGCGAAAATGCAAATACGATTATCAGATAAAAGAGAGAGCCGATAACATTGATCGTTATCGAAAACATTCCAACAGAATCTTCTAGTTGAGTACAGCGCTCGGAGTAAACTGTGTGTTTACGGTAAAATTATCGTTGTGTTGTATAGTGTGTAGTATAGTTAGTAAGCTGTTTAGAAGCTTTATAGTAGACTGAAGAAAATGAACAAAAAAGCTTATTTAGCGAAAATCATTACAAGATCTTTAACTTGAAACCCGTGTTTTAACATTTTGTTATCTTAACAATTTGGCTGTAATTTTGAATATCCATCAAAATTCTTTTTAGTTTAATTTAATCTAAATTTCATTTCAGTTACTAATTCAAATTTCATTTGGCAACTCTGCTTAGAAATTTCAAAATTGTTAGTCAATTTCAGAGTTCACTTTAATCAAGTTTATTCAATTACATTTTTTTAAATAAGCATTTAAATTCATGCCACAGTGAAAATGATACATCACAGCAACTTTTAAATAAAGTACTATAGAACCTATTGCTAATATTTTGCTGGATATCCTTTTTGGCGAATAACGGACCTTAAACGATTTGGGAAAGATTCCAATACCTTTTTTGTATGTGCCGGACTTATTTTAACCCATTCTTCCAAGAGGGTCTTTTTTTTACGACTCCTGCCATGTGTTTGGGATCGGTGTCTTGGTAAAGTGATATGTGTCTTTTATACCAAGTTTTTCTGCACGTCGTATAATGTAACCTTTCAAAATATTTAGATATTGATATTTTTCCATAATCCTTTCCACAAGGTGCAATTTACCAAACCCAGCAGGCGAACAAGCACCCCAGACAATCACGTGGCTACCACCGTATTGAACTGTTGGACGTAGATATCTAGGATCCATCTCCTGGTTGGTTATTCTCCAAACTTTTATTATTCCATTCGACCCAAAACGTCACATAGTTTTGGTGCACTCAGCCGGGGTTCAATCTTGCGTTGTGTGATAATCCACCACTCTTGACGCTCGCTAAACAACTCTTTTGGGCTAATTTTCGGTTTATTTATTACACGATTTTCATTTTTAAATCGGTGAATGAAGTTTTCAACTGTTGCTCGAGCTTTTTTAACGATCTTTGCGATTTCTCTTTGATATTTTCCATTTTTTTAATGCTCAATAATTAAATCTCGCAACTCAATCATAGTACGGCGGCCCATCTTGAAATTAAAAATTAATCAATCAACAAATAGTTAAAACACGTGCTCGTTTCAGTGCAAGAATGTTAACTGAAGTAAACGCACCAAAATAACTAAAAGTTCCGTTTCTATCGCAATATAGATAGGGTGAACAATTTTTCCTGTGACACGAATTTTCCCTTTTATCTGGTTAAATGCTTATTTAAAAAAATAATATACCGGAATAAAAAACATGTTTTCTTGTATTTACAACTTGAATAAAATGAACTTATGAAATTGACTAATATTATTGCTATTCCTTTTTATTTCCAAGACTTTTTTGCAGCTAAAGGCATTTGGTTACAGGTGGACCATTTTCACCGTGAGCCACTGTAGAAAGGGGGATCGGATGTTCTCAGCTCTCTGTACTTCAGCGGGAAAGATTCCATCTAATGATGCTGATTTCGTTATTCCACCATTTGCTTATTTTCTTCCCCGGTGGGGCATGAGGTCTCTGTAGCGGTGTTACAGACTTTTGTTACAAAGTCTAATGCTTAATAAATTTTCGATGATGAGTCAAGCACACGGAGAGCAACATACCCTAGATGTGCTAGATGTCCCCGCTTCATTAGATCTTAATGATAAGCGTAGCTTATCGTGAGAAGCGTGTCGTCTAGCCAGTCCTTTTTCTATTCTATGGTGAAATGAAAAGATATATATAGATGTTCAGAGAAGGAGGGTTCATTGACTACATACCAGTTTCTGATCTGGTCAGAGAATAAGTGTGAAACTAAGTTGAGGTCAAGTGCTTCCTTTTTAGAAAAATTTACGAAGGTGGATTTTTTTTTTAAATAAAATCAAGTAGGGACCGTCCGGACGTATTTGTATACCGAGAGCGTTTCGCTTTCAGCATCCGGTTCTGCAAGGGTCTCCACTCGAGGTGTTTTTCTGAGAGGTATTGTTGTAGAATAGAAGGTGTTTCTCGCTGCCTGAACCTACCGTCCACTTATCACTGGCAATGAGAATGCCTATAGCCCAATTTAGGCTGGCTTTTTGCACCTCCTTCAGTTTGTCGGCAGAAATGGCGCTGAGTTTCTCCACTGTCTTGAGGACGCTTTCCTGTCCTGATGTGCTCTGGCGCAGGACTTGATGGTTTAGGAGTAGCAGGGGCATTGATCTGCTGCTTCAGACGTTGACGAGCGGATCTCAGGAAGAGACTTTTGATAATGCCGTATCCAATGGCTGAATTTTTACCCGTGCAAGGATCGGAAGCTGGATGGCTTTTAGACACATTTAACTGGTTCATCGATCAGCGATCGAAAAGCGTATGCAATATCAAATAAATTATCAAGATAAAATTTGAAATTATTCTCACGGCTCTTTAAGGTAAAATAAGTTTCTTCCCGCAGTTAGGAAATGCTCTTGTTGGAATACTTGCTTTTTCACAATATACGAGGAGACTAAAAATAGTTAGGTAAGTTAACCAGAAAAATAAAAGAAAAAATTCTTTTTGTATTTATGGTAATTTTTGTGCTTTTTTATCTTCTCTACATAATCGCTAATGATTTCAAAGCATTTCATAAGCATATAGTTCCACTTCTCAAAACAGTTTTCAAAATTTTGTTTTGTAAGCTTATCAAGTTTAGCATTAACCGTGTTAATTATCACCTCCTCGACATTAAAGGCCTTTCTTAAATTTTTTTTTTTTTAATTTTTATTTATTTCAACAGTGTGGGATGCACCACTGTCAAGAGGTAAAAAGGAACCTTTATTTCTTCCTATTTTCCAACCAATTTTTGAAAACTTTTGATGAGCAGTTACCGTCTGACCCATTTCCAAAGGAGTAGCAGCTGCGATTTTAGATTCGGTGAAGTAGACTGACATCATTACTATTATAGGGCCTCTAAATACAAATATAAAAATAAGTAAGAAAATTTTATTTTTTTTTAACAAATGAATGTTGCAATCGTAACTAACTATTTATTACAGCTTAATTCACGTGTATTCAAATGGCGTTTATATTCAAACATAAAGTTATGAAACTTGTTTGACAAAAACTGAAGATTTATTAAAAAGTACGAAAGCATATTCCCTCTTTCAGTCGGGCGCTGTTTATTCATAACGGAAACGTCCTTTAGAAATATTATTACTAAATCTTCTGAGTACAGTCTGGTGAATAACAGAAAAGAAAATCACGTCCTAAAATCTTTAGTTACCTGGTTAACACAGCACAGTCCATGCCCTTTTTAATGCATAACCTCATCATAATTTTTTTAAGCCTCCTGTATACAAAACTAATTAACACAGCCACACACACTTCTTAGGCGACTTAGACATCAATTTACACAACGAAATGGAAGATGTATATTCTAAAAAATTCAATTCGATTATATCAAATAGGTTTGAATACCGTAACACAGAAACTTTCATTCGGGTATGCCGTCTATTTCGACTTTATCTCTACATCTACCAAGGAGAGTTGTTCCTGATAAAGGCAAACCATCTGCTGCTACTTGTTTCATCGTTCCCATTGAGTTCGTTGGTGTATATCCTACACCTTTATCGTTATCTAATTAATTAATTTCGTTTTCAAAGAGAAATCGAGAGTCATAATCACTATCGTCTTCGATTGTTCCCCTTATCTCAGCTACTCGGCTCACCTACAGGGAATATCATCCAAAATACTTGAATCTATACTATTTCTACTAACGGAATTATCTTCAAGATCTTGAGAAGGATCTTTCAGTAAACGTAATTATGACACCGTAGCTTCAAACTCTGCTTTTTCTTTGCTAAAGAGATTATAAATGTCTTCTTACTCATTTTTTAAACAAATATAAAATGTATTGTAATATAAAGAAAATTAAACACTTAAATTTTTTTAGATGTTATGTTTTAACTTATCTCGTTATAAAACATTTGTAACTTAATACTAGAATTCCCGCTTTCTTGGGTTAGTGGGAAATGTGAAATGTAAATCGTCATAAACAGCTGTTTATGACAATTAAGTAAGAATAGACAATGCCGCAACAAAGTGAAAAAGTAAAATCTTACATTTCTTATTTATTAAGACCCTATTCGACGTGAATTGTCAGATTGCATTGGATATGCCAATGGCACTAAATTTAAATTAGCTCAAAAACTAGTAACATAGTTATTCTATCAGAGCATAAATAACGTGTGATTATAAGCTTCAAATACGTCATTTAAATATTGGAAGCCCACTAAGTGTTCATGATGCGCGTATAATTTCTAACTGTGATCTATTATCAGGTACGATCATTACACTGCAGTGAAACGAAGACAGTTCAATTTTCGACATAGTTAATACCGCGTTAGAGTTGAACATTGCATACGACGATTTATAGTACGTTTCGGGAGCCTGAAGAAACTGCGACAATGCCTAATAA